CATCACGCAAAACACCTATGTCTATGTGCACACGCCCGAATACTCATAAATACGATTGCACACACCTCCACTTGCGCATGCCCACATTCGCACTCGCAAGATACGCACACGCAAAATACAAACACACACACAAACAAACACGCATACGCAAGCATACACACGTACGTGCATAGAAACATACACATGCATACACATACATATGGAAACACGCACACACGTGCATATTCATATGTCATATGAAATTAACGCAACTTGCTTGTCTAAGCGCTTATTGTTATTACTAGATATCAATTCTAGAATGCGCTTTCTAGGCCAAGCACTGTGGCCGACAAGAAATCGCGGTAAAATTTGTGCGTTTCTTTAACAAATTGAGAGGGAGTATGGCCAAAGAATAAACGGATTATATGACATCACTTCCAGACAGCTAATCTTTTCTGTATTTGATTTCTGGTCCTTGATGGCTCTTTAAAACAGTTACAAACACACTGAGATTCGACAAGAGGAGGAAATGTACAAAACTGGTTCCATCAACTAGAATGCTTTTTAGTGGGCAAACTTACTTTTGGAATAATATCTTGAACGACTTGTTGTTTGGTTTTCTGCTAGCAAGCTAGCAGCTTTTTCAATTGCTCTGATTTCTGCTGCACTGTTGTATATGAGAGTGAAATAAGAGATAAGAAATTGTCTAAGTGCCGTATATATGAGGATATATTAGGATACACCTTTTGTTTCATCTCTGCCTATAAACACAGACCGAACTTTAAGCATGGATGGGAGCAGGAATCATCAGTACAACCTCCTCTTCGCCTTGTACTGAACAATCATGTGACTAATTTGCAAGACGGATATACGAAAGAGGAAGTAGAGAGAAGATAGAGAGGGTGAGAAAGGTAAGAAGAGTAAGCTAACCCAAGGTATAAACGATTATTGTCTGTGAATTGAGCCAGCATTTTTTATGAGAATAATGTGCTGACTAGGCCTTTAATTCCTGAATTATCAGGGAATGTGAATTTGCTTCGTATAGGTCGGTTTCTGAAGCAGAAACCTGAGGGCGGAATTTTTCATTTTGGCAATATCGAACCCTCTTTGTCTGTAGTTGCGTAATAATCAGCTTATAATTTTGAATTTTTTATTTCTAGCTCAAATTTGACTAAAAATTGTAGTTTGCTCGCATTTTTTATGGTGGAACGAAAATTACCCTGTGAAATCGTTCTTTTAAAAAAGCTCTACGCTGTAATTACACGAAAATTTATCGTGATTATACTCTGACCGGTTGAATGCATCACAATTATTGTAGCTCCGGCTCACAACATGTGGATGAAGCTCTTTTTCGCAGATGATTAGGAATTCGAACCTCTTCTCTTCACATTCATGTGCGACGCACTAACCACTGCATCAAGCACCAGAAATAGTCTGAACACGCATTATATTCCTAGATAAAATGCGTCCAGGGACTTTTTTTTTCAGTTTTTCGCAAGTTTCTGCGCCTTTGTTTGTTCCGTCTTGGATTTGATTAAATTCAGCAGTGATCTGAATTTTTGCTGCTACAAATTTGCGCTTTATTATTCTAATTTTAGAAGATGAGAAAGAAAAAAATGCTGAGTCGTGCTGCTGTCGTACTCTGGATGCTGATTGCAGTATACGCCAATAACACAGTAAGTAATCGCCGCAACCTTCATTCTTTTGCAGTCTGCGAAACATAGCACAGAGTAAAATGAAAGCTGCAGATTTGATTTTTCACTGAAATTTAAGGTCCAAATCAGCAGCAAACTCTGGAAATTCCTTTCCCCGCTGCTTTTCTTCGCTGTCCTTCCTAAAAATTTTGCACTGGACGGCCTTTCAATTCCGTTTTTTCTGGAAGACAATACCAGCACGTGCTAAAAAAATTGGAACAACCATACATTTTTCGGCATCTTCTGATTCGACCACCATTTTCAATATTTTTAACTTTTCTTTCTATCCGCTGCTGCCTAAACTATGAACATGTTAATACGTTGGCTTTATCATTAACCAGCTCTTTCTCTTGCAGCATCTCCCTATTGACGTCATTGACGACGACTGCTACAGTATCCTGGAGCCAGAATGTATCCTCAACGAAATTTCTGATGATTCCATCGACAGCAGTTGGAATTCCGGAGAATATGCGGGCGATCCGACAACCAGCAAACCAATCCTGAAAAGCAAGCAAGTGCAGATGGTACCACGAGATTCGTACAAGTGCTTGGAGTGCGGCAAAAACATGACTCGAAAAAGCAGTCTGAAGAGACATATGAGAATTCACACGGATTCTAGGCCCTTTAAATGCCCTCAGTGCGAGAAGGCGTTCAAAAGAAAAGATACTCTTCAGAAACACTCGTTTGTCCATACTGGCGAGAAACGATTTGAATGCGGCCATTGTGGTGTTCGCATGGCAAGGAAATGGGTTTTACAAAAACATATACGAATTCATACTGGTGAAAAACCGTATGGGTGTACAGTATGCGGTCAATATTTTAGGCCTAAAAGCAATTTAGTCGATCACGCTAAAACACATGGCACTGACAGGCCTTACAGATGCGCTCACTGTGAGAAATCTTTTAAGGTGGAAAACTATTTAGCGCCTCATTCCAAAAGATGCCATAATAAAAATGCAGTGTAATCGCGGTAAAATTTGGTAAATTATTCGTGCCACCAGAATTTATTTTGCTTTCCTAAATCAGCGCTTTGTTTGTGTGACAGTCCTTTGCTTTTTGTTCTTCGTTCATTATTACTGCTCTTTTTATTTGCTGATTTGTAAAGGAGTGCAAAAAATTGTTCGTGCAACTCTGTCAGTGATCTGATGCCGTCAGTGATATGATACCGTTAACTGATACTTTTGAGAAACGCGCAAAAGTGGAATCCATTAATATTCTTGTCACTCACACATAAACACACTCATACATGCATGCACACGTACGCACACACTCTTCCAAATACACATGTAAATAAGAAAATAATGAAACCTACTTGTCTAGACACATTCTAATTATAATTATTATGTTATTAAAATATCAGTTCTACTACTGCACCAATGCGGCCAACCATTGCGTCCGCCAGAAGACTGCGATGTAATCCGCGTAATTTTTTATGCAAAAACATAAGTGAGAAAATCTTCCGAGTGAATGGATTACATCGCAGCCTTTTCCGACAGTAATCCTTTTCTACATTTTGAATTCATTGCTGTATGACATGTGGCTTTTGCTGGTGCCGTAGATCTGTCACAAGTACACTCAGCTTTGACGAGAGGACGAAATAGATGTAGACTCTATTGAGAAAACAGTCCATCTGCCTCAACCTCAGGGTATGGGACAAAGAAATGGTGACGGAGACTTCATGGGATCTCATCGGTATCGAGGGCCGCGCG